CTGACTGAGGAATTCTGGGAGTTGAAGTCCACAAGTCCTCAAAGGGCCAAGTTGGAAGACCCCTGCTTGTGGACTTCAACTCCCAGAATTCCTCAGCCACAAGTCCTCAAAGGGTCCTAGTTCCCTCACGCTGGCTGAGGAATTCTGGGAGTTAAAGTCCACAAGTCATAAAAGGTCCTAGTACCCTCATGCTGACTGAGGAATTCTGGGAGTTGAAGTCCACAAGTCCTCAAAGGGCCAACTTGGAAGACCCCTGCATTAGCACCTTTTCACCAGTTTAAATGTTAAGACTTTTTTGAGTTTTTGTTCTGGCCCCGCACGATATATGATATATATTATATATTTCAGGCCTTACCAAACGCAACGAGCTCTTTTGTGACTTTGTAAGCGGCTCTGAAAAGAGCCTTGGGGGAGAGTCCAGGCGCTCGGGCCGGGCTGGAGAAGTTGCCTTAAAGTCTCGGCTTCTTCAAGTCTTCTTGGGCAGCAGGACGGCCTGGATGTTGGGCAGGACGCCGCCCACCCGCTACCACTGGGCCGGGTCGTCGAACAAGTCGAGGAGCAGCAACGCCTACCGGTCGACGTTCACCGCGCCCTACTACGCGCAGAAGAACAATAGGGCGCGCCGCAACGGGCGGTCGAGGTCCTAGAGCCGGCAGTCCATGAGGTCGTCGGCGGCCAGGTAGACCGGAGCGCCGGCGCCCACCCGCTCGGCGTAGTTGCCCTTGCGAAGCAGCCGGTGCACGCGGCCCACCGGGAACTGCAGCCCGGCCCGGGAAGAGCGAGTCTTGGCCTTCGCTCTGGTTTTCCCGCCCTGCTTGCCGCGTCCAGACATGGTGGCTGTAAGCGACGACGATCCAAAGATTCAAGCGAAGATCGAAGTGGGAAACTGCCCCGGCGTCCTCCTGCTTTTATATTCGCCCGCCGGCTCCTGGGAGTCGGAGGGGATTGGACGAGGAGGAGGCCACTCCTCCAATGAGACGTCGGGTGTGTCTTCCTAGCCAATCGGCGAGGGGCAGCTCAAGGTAGCCAATAGGAAAGGGGGAGAGAAGAACGCTAAGGAAATGCTAGAAGGTCTTTCTTTCTTTCTTTCTTTCTTTCTTTCTTTCTTTCTTTCTTTCTTTTCCCCTTCCCCTTCCCCTTCCCCTTCCCCTTCCCCTTTCTTTCTTTCTTTCTTCTTCCTTCCTTCCTCTTCCCCTTCCTCTTTCTTTCTTTCTTTCTTTCTTTCTTTCTTTCTTTCTTTCTTTCTTTCTTTCTTTCTGTATTTTTCCTTTCCTATTTATTTATTTCCCTTCTTTCTTTCTTTCTTTCTTTCTTTCTTTCTTTCTTTCTTTCTTTCTTTCTTTATTCTTTCTTTCTTCCTTCCTTCCTTCCTTCCTTCCTTCCTCTTCCCCTTCCTCTTTCTTTCTTTCTTTCTTTCTTTCTTTCTTTCTTTCTTTCTTTCTTTTTTTCTTTCTGTATTTATGTATTTTTCCTTTCCTATTTATTTATTTCCCTTCCTCTTTCTTTCTTTTTTTTTCTTTCTTTCTTTCTTTCTTTCTTTCTTTCTTTCTTTTTCCATTTATTTATTTATTTCCCTTCCCTTCCTCTTTTTCTTTCCTTCCTTCCTTCCTTCCTTCCTTCCTTCCTTCCTTCCTTCCTTCCTTCCTTCCTTTCTTTCTTTCTTTCTTTCTTTCTTTCTTTCTTTCTTTCCCTTCCCATTTATTTATTTATTTATTTATTTATTTATTTATTTATTTATCCTTTCCCTATTTATTTATTTATTTATTTATTTCCCTTCCTATTTTATTTATTTATTTATTTATTTGTTTCCTTTCCCTATTTATTTTCTTTCTTTCCTTCCTTCCTTCCTTCCTTCCTTCCTTCCTTCCTTCCTTCCTTCCTTCTGTCTCAAGGAGGGGCTTCAACTTTGGGAAAACGGTAAACCGAGATTCTAGCTGAACGATGCAAAAGAGATTGATTTCTTGCAAAAAGGAGCCATATGCCCCCCCTACCCAAAAAAAGATTACAGCGTCAGAAATTTCTGCCCCTTCC